CTGCTGAACTTCAATCTTGCTTAAAGTGATTCAAGTTCAAATGGTCTCTATGTAAATTTCCACAAACCAAGTAACCACAAGCTGTTTGGGATGGCTCAAGAGCTTTCTGCAGAATAGAGTGTGCCTTAGCCCAAAAAGACAGAAAGTTATTTCTGGGGTTGTAGAAAAAATTGCTGGTTAATAACTTGTGTTGTAAATGGAAATAACCAGTCAACTTCCTGTTAAACTCATTCTCTCTGACTCCATCCAATAGAGAAAAAAAAACTAAACCAAACAAAATACCAGATACTGAAGGAAGAGGCTGCTTCTATAGGCACAAACACCAAAATATGAACAAGTCCTACATTAGAGAAAAATCTAGCATGCATCTTCAACACTGTACGCAGAAATCAAGGACAAGAACTGCTAAAAACTATACAAGGAAACGCTGCCATATTTTAAAAAGGTATATGGAAATAATTACACTGATTAATAAAACACTGATATTCACAACCCATCCGAACGAAAACTGGTTTACATCTTCAGGAAAATAGTACAGAACATTTCTTTTTTTCTCTTAAAAAGCAGAAGGAGTGCCACACTGCCAAAGATACTGTTGCCGTATATAGATTTGCATCAACCTTCTTGTGCTTTCCATTCAGGGGATTCAGAACAAGGGGTTGTGTTCCCTGATAAACTCTTTACAATTATCAGATGCCTATACAAATCAACCTTTTTTTCCTACCTAATTCATTATGGAGTTGCTACAACTACAGTAAGATGTATAAGGTTTCAGGAAGTTCCCATGACTTAAGTTATTTTGTGAATAAATTTTGATTTTTCTTTAGTTCACCTATGTTCACCAATATATACTGTATATGAACCTTGAGTATAAGAACTGCATGAAAACAGTCTGAAAAAAATAAAACATGGAAACTGATGCATGAGGCCATCGGTTCCCTTTCTACTGCTTATTTTATTCTTTTTTAAATACCACCACTGAAGAAACCCAGATATAGTCCCCAAACCCACAACAAACTGCTTTGCTTTGCTGTGCATTTTTCTCAGCAGGTTTTCACACCTGCTTCTTCAGATAGAACATCTGGAGGCTTACAAAAGCATGACTTGTACTTCTCCATCATGTTTATTTGTGTGATGATTTTTCCAGATCTGGAAGTTTTTCAATTAGTGCTTTATGGTTCATGTTGATACTGGCTATAAGTCCTCCCTCATTGCCATCTGAGCCAGTGTAACTGATTTCTTCACCAGTCAGGGTAGTCATATGACCACCCAATGCTCTCAACACTGCATTTCCAGCACATATGTCCCACTTCTTAATGTAGGTGACATGGATATACACATCAGCTTCTTCTTGATTCTTTTCAGGTACGTCAAGGAGGGCCAACACTTTATAACCTAGAAGAAACAGGCAAACAAATAAAATCAAATTAAACCAAGTTTTCCTGTTCAGCACAAAGGATAAATGGACTAGTGTTAATAATATGTTTATGCAAGATCTAGTAAAGTGATGTCACACCATCTAGTATAATGATGGAGGCACCAATAAACTTTCTCTGCTCTCTGACCTGCAGAGAAGATCTGAAAGAGGAACACCACACCCCGAGAGTTTTCCACTGCACCCCAATTAAAGCTTTGGGTATGTGAGACACATTATTTTTAGACAGCCTTTACAAATACGATACATAGATTTATCTAGAGACACCTTAAAAGAACAAAGTCAGAAACTCAAATATAGCTCTGCTCTTAGGTTCATTCACTTATTTCTCAATCCCTGTATCATGTTGAGGTCTACCTTTTTCTTCCTGGCTTTTATTACAATGGAACAAAAATGCATACACCACTTTTTAATAAAGGAACTCAGCTCAGGGCATTCCCCCTTATCATTCATTATGCAGTACAAAATCATTGCTCAAAAGAGTATGCTTTCCTTTATGGATTTTTTTCAATTTTTCAACTCTTCAACCAGTACTATTGTTTCATTAAACCATTCCTTTTCTTTATCTTCTTATATAGAGTGAAGCCCTGGAGAAGATCTGCTACAATCAGTTACACTTCCACTTTCTGTGTCATAAGAAAACTCATTTATATTCAATATCAAGAACCAATGCAAGATGACCTTGACTAAACAATCTGTAAGGGACTTCTAGCTTTCCATATTAAAAACACAAAGATACACTTCTGTAAAATTCAAATTCTGAATGGCTTTTCTGAGACTTTAAAACTGCTATTACTCACACTAGTGCCTCACATATTTGCATTGTCAATAACACACACAAGGATATTGCATATGTAAAAAGGATGCTAAAACCATTTTGAATTGAGTATGAGACAAATAAAAATGAACTATTTTGACACTAGTTTTCTCTTTTGACATAAATGCCAAAGTTCTAAACTTGAATGGCTTTTTACTTTAGATTTTTTTTAACTAAATGCGCTAATAGTTAACTAACAGATTCTCTTCCATGATTCTGTTTGTGGTCACACAACCTTTTTTTGCCCACTGAGGCATCAGTGCCTCTAATGAATGCACATCAGTGTGTTCAGTGAAAGCACCACAACAATATTGCAGGTCCAGGCTTGGATTCACTAACAGACTGACTAGTGAACAGCCTGAAGCCTGAACTAAGTTTGCATGTAGGTTCCTATACACAAGAAAAACTGCATCCCTATTGTCAAGTGCTTGCTTTTACAGATGTGAAGAACAAAAGGCAAGAGGAAAAAGAGGACATGTCACAGTTATATTCTTTTATCTAGTAATGGCTACACCACTAAATCATTCAGAGCAATAAAAAGGATAGGATGCTTAAAGAACCAAACCTGCTCCACCAGCGGGGATTATCACAGTTTTATTTCCGAATGTCTGCCGTGCAACTTGCTCAACTTTTCCTGCATGAGAGCGGGACACAATAATCCTTGGAGATTTCTCATTGTAGGAGGAACGAGCTTTTATGTTCGACCCACCATCCACCATTGCCCAAGCTACAAGAGAAATACAAACTCTGCTAAGATTTAGGAAAGACAATTTCTGTTAAGCGTGAAGATAAAAAGATGCTTATCTAAAAAAAATGGAACTGATACCCCCAACTTAGTATCTCTCCCTAATGTAAAAGACAGAGGAAGGGATGCATACAAGGGGAAAACAGCCCACATATCTGTGTGCATGTGGCATTATCCCATGCCTGACTATTCTTGTGTCATATTTCCAAAAAAAACAGACTAAGAGAGAAAATTCCCAAGTCGTAATATGTAGAACTTGCAACTGGAAAGTGACTGAAGTTAAAAGGGTGGCTGCTAGTCAGAAATAGATCCAAAATTTCCTTGAACAATGTTTTTATGCAAGCACAAAAAGCCCCACTACCCTTCAAAGCAGATACCAAAAATGTTAATGTGTCATTTTGTTCAGAGGGATAGTAATGCTAAGGAAGGAAATAGCTCAGGAGGACAATAATACAAAGAAAAACATTCGATGGTGTGTTTCAGAGCACTGCATTTAGAATACACAACCTCCCACTTGTTTCATCATGTGGTTTCAAAGCCAAGCTTGGTAGGTGGCATCCCCTAACCATTAATCTGACATTTACTTAGCAAACTAACTGGCAGTTTGATCTCAGTAGAGGGCCAGATTGTATGGCAACAGACTGAGCTATGTGTAATAACAATGTTGACTGCCCTTTATTGCTTTGTATTTGTGTAGTAGTATTAGGAACAATCCTACTCACAACATATTGGTATTTCCAGCTTAGAAAATGAATACTTGTCACACAGAATGACAGAGTTCATTGCATCTCATCTGATGCCATCTCTGAACATTTCACACTTCACAATTATTAAAGGAGATAAATTCTCAACATTATGATACTAAAACTCCATTACTTCGAATAGATATTGATACATAGAAAAATATGTTCCAAAACCTCCAGGATTCTTGAAGCGTATTGGAACATAGCAGTGTCCTGACTCTGTCCAGTACAAAGTTAACTTTTGCAGCAGTCAAGAAGGGCACACTAGGACTCTGGGGTTATTCTATACCACCTCACATTCATGTGGAGGGGATGAAGGGGGCAGGAGAGGAAGGGGGGGTTAGCCTTTGCTCCAGCTGTGGCTCAGTCAGTGCGTGGTGTGTGCAGGCAGGCAGCACTGGGTTCTGCATGGTGAGCGATCACATGGAGTCATGCGTCTGTCTTGTACAGTTATTAATATAGGTGTTGTTACTGTCAATTTTCTTACTTTGTGGCTCTCTTTATTAGTAAACCGTTCTTATCTCTACCTGTGATCTTCACCTTTTGTGCCTCCAATTCCGTCCATCCTGCTGCAGGGAGAGGGAGTGGGGAAGTGAACGAGGGGCGTGTGGCCTGGGGGTTTCAGTGGAAACACTAAATTGGGCAATACCACTCCTAAACCAGGACAAGCACATACTTGAGTGACTAGCAATTAAGTTTGTATTTAAAGAGGGTAAAATATTTAGCACAAAATACTGGGTGTTAAGTGGGCCAAAAAAAAGAGAACAAATAAAAAATACATTTATTCAGATAGTTTTCATGCCAGAGCTACTGCACAACTTCACAACTCTAGAGGTCAGTATTGCCTAAGGGAAAATGTGAACAGAAATTCTTGCTTCAAATATATAGTAATACATGAATACTAAAACTACTTTGAAGCTTTCAGAAATGCATACACATTGCCAAACTTGTAGCAATGCTCACAGATACATCATTAATACTAAAGAATCACAGAATCACTTAGGTTGGAAGGGACCAGCATGGGTCACCTGGTCCAACCTCCCTACTTGAACAGGGCCACCTTAGAGCATATGGTTCAGGATTGTATCCAGAAGGTTCTTGAGTATCTCCAATGGGAGACAATCCACAACCTTTCTGAGCAATCTGTTCCAGTGTGCAGTGACACGCACAGTAAAGCAGCTCCTCCTTGTATTCAGGTGAAACTTCCTGTGCATCAGGTTTTCCCTGTTACCTCTTGTTTTACTGGTTTTCACTACTGAGAAGAGTCTGGCTCCATCCTCCTGTCACTTCCCATTCATGTACTTGAACAGATTAATGAGGTCCCCTCTCAGTCGTCTCTTCTTGAGACTCAGCAGGCCCGACTCATTCAGCCTTTCCTCAAAAGTGAGGTGCTCCAGGCCCTCCATCATCTTTGCTGCCCTCCACTGGACTCACTGAGGAGTCCAGAAATGGACACACTACACCAGGTAGCAGTCCTCATGAGGGCTGAGTAGAGAGGCAGGATCACCTTCCTTGACCTGCTGGCAATACTCTTTTTAATGCATCCCAGGATTCCATTTGCCTTCTTGGCCACAAGGACAAACTGCTGACTCGTGAACAGCTTGTTGTCCACCAGGACCCCCAGGTTCCTCTCTGAAGAGCGGCTCTTCAGCAGGTCAGTGCCCAACCTGTACTGGTGCTTGGGGTTACTCCTCCCCCGGTGCAGGACCCTGCACTTGCTCTTGCTGAATTTCAGGTGGTTCTGCTCTGCTCAATCCTCAACCTGTCAAGGTCCCTCTGAAGAGCAGCACAGCCCTCTGAGGTATTAGCAACTCCTTCCAGTTTTGTATTATCAGCGAAGTTGCTGAGAAGGCAACTCTGTCCCCTCGTCCAAGTCATTGATGCATATGTTGAACAAAACTGGGCCCAGTATGGAACCCTGCAGGACACTACTAGCAACAGGCCTTCAGCTAGACTCTGTGCCACTGATTACAACTCTCTGGGATCTGCCACTCAGACAGGTCTCAATTCACTTTACTGTTCACTCTCCAATGCACACTTAAGTTTTCTGATGAGGATGCTGTGGAACACAGTGTCGAAAGCCTTGCTGAAGTCGAGGCAGACTATGTCCACTCCCTCCCCTCATCCATCCAGGAAGTTGTTTCATCGTAGAAGTCGATCAGGTTGGTCAAGCCTGACTTAACTTTAGTGAACCCATGCTGACTACTGAGCACCTTCTTGTCTTTCATGTGGGCAGAGACGGCCTCTAGAACGAGAAGTTCCATTACCTTTCCAGGGACTGAGGTGACACTGAGTGGCTGATAGCACCCCAGATCCTCCTTTTGGCCATTTTTAAAGACTGGGGTGACATTTGCCATCTTCCAGTCTTCAGGGACCTCTCCTGATCTCCATGACTTTTCACAGATGATTGTGAGCAGCCTGGCTATGATGTCCACCAGCTTTCTCAGCACTCATGGATGCATCCCATCAGGGCCAATGGACTTGTAGATATCCAGTTTAATTAAGTGTTTGACCAAGGGAAAGTCTTTTCACACGCCTTCATTTACCCTGGTCTCCTGGGTCAGAGATCCCTGCTGGCTGATGTCACCCATGAAGACTGATGCAAAGAAGGCATTCAATAACTCTGTCTTCTCTGCATCCTCTGTTATCAGGGTCCCCTCTCCATTAACTAGTGGGTCCATGTTATCCTTCGTTTTCATTTTGGTATTTATGTATTTTAAAGAGCCTTTTTTGTTATCCTTGATATCTTTGGCCAGATTAAATTCTAGGTTGGCCTTGGCCTTTCTTGTCTCATAGCTGCCTGCTCTGGTTACCTCTCTATAATCACACCCAGGGGCCTGGCCCTGTTTCAACCTCCTATGCATTTCTTGCTTATGTTTCAGCAATGACAGGAGTTCTTGGTTCATTCACAGAGATTTCATGTGCCCTTGGCTGAATTTATTTCTCGTTGGGATGTATTATTCTTGAGCCTGGAGAAAGTGAGCCTTAAATAACAACCAACTCTCTTGGACTCCTCTTCCCTGTAGGGCCTGCTCCCATGGGACTCATCCAAGAAGATCCCTAAACAGGTTAAAGCTAGCTTTCCTGAAGTCCATAGCTGTAGTTTTAGTTGCTGTCCTGCTACCTCTTTGCTTGATACTGAACTCTACAATCTCATGATTGCAGAGTTCAGCCAAAGCTGCCCCCAACCTTCACATCATCAACAAGGCCTTCCTTATTGGTTAGTATAAGGTCAGGCAACACACCATTTCTTGTGGGGAACCTCCAGCACCTGTGACCAAAAAAAATTATCATCAGTGCTTTCCAGGAACCTCCTGGACTGTTTGTGCTTTGCTGAATGGTTTTTCCAGCAGATGTCAGGGTAGTTAAAGTCCTCCACAAGAACAAGGGCATGTGACTTGGAGACTACTTCCAGCTGCCTGTAGAAGGCCTCATTCATTTCCTCCTCTTGATATAGTGACCTGTAATACACACCTACAACAATATCACCCTTAGTATTCTGCTCTTTGATCCATAAGCTTTCAAACTGCTCATCACCCTCACCAAGGCAGAGCTCAATACATTCTAAGTGCTGTGCTACATGGAGGGCAACTCTACCACCACACCTTCCTGTCTGTCTCTCTTCTGTCTCTTTTTAGTTAGTTCACAGTTATGGCATTAAAAGCACGTCAGGTAATCAGTTAAGACTATGCTAGACAGTCTTGCCTGTTACATACAAAGAGTTGCCATTAAGATCTTTAAGTAATCTTTGTTACACTGAATAAACACCAGCTCCTGGGTATAATATCACAGACCCAAGTTAATCTGCTGAATGAGCAAAGTACTCTTTTCTGCTAAAGACTAAAAACACACATAAAACTGGACAGTATTGGTAGGTTTCACGTTTTTTGGTTTGCTATAAGCACTCTGATTGAAGAGATCATAAGTCTTAAACATACTTTCAATTAGTTTGGTTTAAATGCACCATTTTTATATCAAACAAGGGCAGCATTTTCCTTTGTGGTTTCATAGCACTGAACACATCTGCAGCTCTAATTGTGAGGTCTGCAGCAGTGCTCTTTTGCCCCAGGTACTATTTCCTCATTTATACTTACAGATGTTCTCCCAAACATCAAATTTTAATTAACACTATGACTGACAACGATGGAAATATGTAAAGGCATGAAGGTACCTGTATATGATGAGAATGGCTTGTGTATCACTCCTATTACTGGTTTACCATTTACAGCCACACAAACCATTGTCGTGACGTACTGTCGAAGATCCTCTGTGGGCAAAACAAAACAGTGAGCAAGTTTACAGCCAGATGCCAAGAACACAGAAAGAAAACAGACATGAGATTACAGAAAGGTTGTTCTTTGAAGACTAGTCTACATTCTGCCTCTCACAATTATGTAACTTTGATGAATCTTCAAATAAACTAGGAGGTTGCAAAAGACTTTAAAGACTTTTCAGTTTTCCAGCAGTTTTTCCTGTTCAGTGGATGTAACCTATACTCCCACCAGATCTAATGCCAGTATCTGTGTCTTATGCAGCATGTACTTTCATGGAAATCTGTGCCTCAACATTCCCCCTTCTCTGCCTCACCTCCTATTCTCTATTGGCTCAAAGCTGATAATTCAAATACTAAAGAACATTCACCAGAAAGGGTGATTAATTACATCAATGAAATATTTGAAAAGAAATCCCCTTTTTTCTGTTTGTTCCGTAGTACTTATCAGCAAGAATTTTAGTTGGATGGCCTTGAACTGCTTACATGGCATTGTAAAACATCTGAAAAGCTGGAAAACTGAATTATGCATGCTCTTTTGAAAAATGATAAAAATTTTCTTATATCAAGTTAAATAGAATATTTATTTAGTATTCCCTCTAAATAAACAAAAATCTGAGATATTTAGTGTTGCCACAGTAATAACTGAAAAAACCCAATATGTAATTCCAGCAGAATCCATAACTGACAGACAGTTACCATTTATTATAGCAGTTACTTATGAGGAATACCAAAGTAATTTTAGAGCTGGAATATATAAAAGTAAATGCTGTGATCTGGGAACTATAGAGATTTCATTATGCAATTTGTTCAATTAAATCACACCAGCTTTGTCATAACACACTCACAAGAGATGTCATTTTAATTACTTGCTATTTTGTCTCCACTATAAAAGGCAGACATCAGAATTACACACATGATTTGTTAATAAGAATCAGCTACCTGTGTATTCTTGTGTAGCATCTAATGGGTCAATCCAGACAGTAACACTTTCTGCTGGAACCTCCTTAGGCTGTATTTTTTGCTTTATGTCTTCAGGAATACTGTGATCCCAAGAGACTATCTCCTCATCAGCTGTATCAACATGCTCTTCAGAATTTATCTGTGGTAAGACAACAAAAGTAGCTGTATTAACTCAGATACAGTAACTGTGGTACTCAGGAAAATTACAGGTTTGCTCACATTTTCTCTTTCTTCCTTCACCTCCAGCTAAAAGTACACGAATTAGTCATTTTCCAGCAACTCACAAGCTACTATCATCATTTGATAAGCAATGGAAAACCACAATCCATAATTTTACCGTGAACTACACCACAGTTGCACACTGTTGCTCTGGCTGCAGCTCTTCCTACTGAACAGTATGAATCACATTTTTTTTAAATCAAAAATTAAATGCAGTTGCTTCAAAGACTACAGGCAGAACATTTGAATCAAGAGAAACATACAGATAGCAGCGGTCTAATATTCAACTTACACAGATCAGCAGATTCAGATTTAAATGTACAGATATTCTATCAACAGATATTCTGCAGACTGTGTATGACTTGGA